GCTTATAGATTTTAGTAGTTACGGAGTATATTTTAATACATTGAAGGTGAATAATTCTGATACATATAATTAAGGTTATAACATAGTCAGTTTAATCTTATACCCTCAATCTTCTACTCAGTTGCATCTTTTTATAAGTGAAACAAGTATTGATGTACGTTAGTTACATTTTCATACGAATGATATCACGTTGTACGAACAACTCAAACTCCCGTTCAATCGGAAATTGAATCGGACAATCGCTATTGTTCGCTCACTTCGCTGGTGCTGGTCGGCCTTCGTAAAGTTGGCGCACGGAGGCTGAAAAGTGAGCACCTCTAGCCGCTACTCTCCTACTCGACACTCAACAGCTTCCTCTCCCGAATAGCAGGTAAATTTCTTATTGTATTTTTTATATTATTCAGTTTAGCTCTATTAATTACAGCCTATATCCAGAATTCCAGAACTTAGGATTTCAATAAATTAGTATTCTTTAACTCTTTAAGTCTAACTCCTTTAACTCTTACCTTTAATCGTTTTATTCTTCATACTTTCATTTTTAAAGTCTTAAGATTTGAGCTTTAGGCCCTTACAAAATTTATGACTTTATATTCATGTAAATAAGTGAAATTAAATGACATTGAAAATTGATGTCATTCTCGAATGATATCGATCGATGAAAATCCGTAAAGAGCACTTGTGAAGTTGTGTACTTTTTTTTGCATTTGATTTTGACTAAAACTCTTATTTCGGTAATATTTTTTTCCTTTGATTATTTTGTTGCAATATACTCTGTATGTTCTTTTGTTGATTGTATTACACTAGTATATTACCTGTGCGATGCACGGGAATATTACTCATGCGATGCACATGAATATATTAAAAAAAATGATATTTTAAAATAATAAAGAGAAAATAATAAATAATACTGTTAGAATCCCACACCGGAAAAGTTTGAATCAACAAAGTGCTATATTAAGACATGAGTTACTCCTCCTATCAGGTTGACCTTTTAGGATGGAACCCCGGGTCTTAACATGGTATCAGAGCCAATTCCGATTGTGATTTGACAGCTTGTTTAGCACCCATGATTACGGGTAGCTTGTTAAGGGTTTGTTTGGCCCATTTATACACCCCGATATTATCCAGACCGGTTTGGGTTGAGGGGGCGTGTTAGAGTATTTGTCCCACATCGGAAAGTTATAAACCAATAAACCACTATATAAGGCTTTGATTTACTTCTGCTATCGGGTTGACCTTTTAGGATGGAACCCCAAGTGTTAATATGGTATCAGAGCCAAACTGATCCATAACCATGGTGTGGGCCGCCTTATGACAAAATGACAACACGATTAAAAAATGACAATGACGAACTGACGAAGAAATGATTGACGACACGATCCATACGAAGTGTCTCGTCGTGAGGAGGGGTGTTAGACTTCCACACCGGAAAAGTTTGAATCAACAAAGTGCTATTAAGACATGAGTTACTCCTCTTATCAAGTTGACCTTTTATGATGGAACCTCGGGTTTTAACAATTACCATCGTTAAAAAAAGATGATATTTTAAATTATTGCATGCAAAATTAATTACTTAACATGAAAAAAATAAACAACCTAGCTAATGTAAGTGTATATCAATATTTTGATAAATATGTAGTACTTCATTCATTCTTTTTTAAATGCAACGGTCCACTTTTCATATTTGCCAACACACAAGTTTAACCATTAATTTCTTTTATATCTTATTAGTAAAAAAATTAAAAAAATATATTTTGAAACATTAAAATGAGAGCAATTTAAAAATATATTTTTCAAATTCAATATGTAATAAATTAAATAATAAAGTAGAGCCAAAGTAAAACATGTGAATAGTGAAAAAAATCCAATGTTGCATTTAGAAAAGAACGGGAAAAGTATAAATTACAATTACCGGATGTAAGTATGAATCAATGTGATGATTTTAAAAATCCAAATATTCTCTACTTCTAGCTTTCTTTTGTGAACCATGCAAACCATTTTAAAACATGAGTAGCTTGAAAAGATGGATTGAAATTTGAATAAATGTAATAAAAAAATGCATTACCCTATCACTGTAAAATATATTCATAGAGATGGACTTACTTAGAAATTAGACCACATAATACCATATCATTTGAGAAACGTCTTCATTTCGATTTCAGTTTCATCTCCTTTTCGTAAACCTCAATTTATAAGCTAAAAATATCCTCAGATTAAACCGTAACATTTTCTTCTACTGTTTTTCATTACTATTATTTTTTCTTGGGTATCATTTTTGAGACTTTAGTAAAATATGGAGCAGAAATTAAGACGTCCTTCGGATATTGAATATTTATTGTTTCAAAAATCAAAATTATTTACCTTGTTGGATTTGAGATTATAAGTTATATTGGTCATTCATAAAAATTAATTTCTTGCTTATTTAGTTGAGAAAAGTTATAGCATATGTGATTAAAATATGGACTTCTTATTAAAAGTTTATTATATATGTTTTTAATTGGTTTGAAATGATATGATCTTATATGATCACTACACAAAAATTACGGGATTGACACGAATTGACCTGTGATTTCATGCCAAACTGCTTGTGCCAAATTGTTTTTGACATGAATTTAACATATCCCTATCACATCCTCTATGGATTTTGGTGAATCCCTACAAAAAAATCTACGTCAATTTCCTTACTTTTTATGTGGTGTGATAGATATTTTTCTACACGTTTTTAGTATTGTCTAATTCTTGTCAGACCCAATCTAATATGATATCGTTTGATTTGATTCGATTCAGGTATTATAGGATTTCAAAGTGATCAGTCTACTCTAGTAAAACAAAGACGATTGGGTTATCTTGTTTGTTTGGGTTTTTAGACAATTGGGCTATCTAATGATACTATTTTATACGAAGTATATCTTTTGTGCTAGAACTATAATTTCCTTTGTTACAACTCTCACATCATTCATAAAAATGCATATTATTTCAAACTCATTGATTTATTTTAATATACTTAGAAGTATATGAAACTTTACTGCACACTTTAAATTATAAAAAAGATTTAAAATAAAGATTATAGTTTCATTCATACAATATTAAACATTGATTGTACACCAATAGTTTGAAATCTTATTTTAGTTCAACTCAAGTCGAAAATCTGAAATACACTATTCGTATTACACAATTTTAACTCGAATAAGAAAAAGGAACACTCAAATATATCATTTTCTTTCTCCGCGATTATTCTCATTTCTCATCCACGCAATACCTCTTTCTTTACCAAACACACATATTCCACATTCTTGCATCACATAAATAAACCACCATCCATCTCTAAACGCGCACTGATCAACTAAACATTTCCGATTAATATAGCCCTTCCTTCTTGTGTTTCACTAATCGACTTATATTTCGTAATGAGGTAGAGTAAAGAGTACACTATAATGCATTTGATCTTTTTAAGTACATAAGTTCGAGTTTTTAATGTTAATTGAGTACACCCATTAGATTAACACGTCAATACGATTGAGTTGGCTAACAGAATGCTAATAGGTTGACTTTTTGAAGGTCGACACTAGCCCCCGGTCGCTTGATCGACTTCCCCTTGGTCGAAGTCAGTCCCCTGCAGGTCGACTTCTCCTTGTTCGATGCACCCTTGCTGGCCGACGCCCCCCGCAGGTCGACTTCCGAAGGTCGATTTTCCTTTTTTGTCGACTTCGTGAAGGTCGGCACCATAACCTCGGTCCATTACCCCTTCTTACTCGACATTCGTTAGCCAACTCAACTGTATTAACATGTTAATCCAACAAATGTACTCAATTAACACTAAAATCCCGAATTTGTATACTTAAAAAGATCAAATGCAATATAATGTACTCCTTACTCCACCTCGTACAAGTTGATGTACTCAATTTACCATTTCCTCATTTCGTAATCTTGATTTTTTTATGGATATGACTCTTTCTCAGTTCATGATCCCCCCCAAACTCCGAAGTAGAAATAGGTTCTAGAACTCACTTCCACCGGCAGTCTTTAGAAACAGTATATATGGGGATGCAGCCCCAAAAACGATTAAAAAAATATTAGGCCCAATTAGGGGTGGGATTTTGGAACTGGGAACCGTTAAAATGGTTGGAACCGAACTGTTATAACCCGGTTCGGTTCCTACAAATGAGGTATTAGTTGTTAACGGTTCGGTTCCTAGTTGTTGTTAACGGTTCGGTTCCCGGTTCCTGTAAAAAATATATGCACGGAACCGTTAATGAACCGATATTAAAAAAAATAGTAGCAGTATTCGTAGTAATACTAATATAACAAAAATAAACACAACAACAACAATAATAATAAATGAATGATATTTAGCCAATAATTCTAATTTAATTTAATCTATGAAAACAAAAATAATAAATATTTGCACATGAGGTTGAATACATTAAGCTCATTTTTACAAATCAAGTTTTGTTCCATCAATAGGAGTAGAATGTAGTGATGCTTTTATATTTGTACATGTAAACTCAATGTATTTATAGGTTTTGAGAGGCAAAAAGTGTACTCCTATCCTTGCCACTATAATGATGAGCAACCTTCATTTTAACGATATAACCAACGATTTTTATATTTTATGTATTAAATGAAAATTAAAATCTTCTTTTTATTCTATTAAGTGTTCACTTAAGCCTGAACTTTGATGTTTGGAACGATTAGAACTCTAAATAAATGTTTATGACTTGTTGACTTTTTGACGTTTTCATGTGGTAGAAGCTAAACTATGTGTAAATTCTTACACGAAAAAAATTATTCTAGGAACCGATAAAAGCAAGAACCTAACCGTTTAGTATTGGTTCGGTTCCATATCGGTTCTTGATTTTTTATATAGGAACTGAACCGATTTCATTTGTTAAAATTTAAATAATGATTCGACTATTTTTGAGTAAGAACCAAAACGGTACCGGACCTAGGCCCAATATTCTTGTCCAACAAACCAAAGGTCCAATTTTAATTAAAGGCTTGAGGAAGCCGAGCAAACATCTCTAAGTCGGGATCCATCGACTTCTATCATCCACAAACGGTTGAACGCTCCGCCAAGTCGCCGATTCTCTTCGCGGTTTCATCCTCCGTCAGACGCCAACACGCAGCACATCAGCAGCACCGCAGCACGCCTCTTCAGTCGTCAACTACTCACATCACTCCCGTCGCTCAGTCGCCTGCTCTCAGCCACTCAACCTTCAGCGGCTCAGTCAATCGGCGCTTCCCTCAATTTTCACATCCAACCATTCATAGTCCCGGTATTTCTTTAGTCCTGTTTTATTGATTAGCTCAATAATAACTTAGTTCATTGTTTTTTTTATAAATATTTAGTTAAATACTTAAATTAGTAATATCTTTGTATGTCGAAACCTAAGAAAACCGAGAAACACATTTTTATTTTCCCACACGCGTCACCAGAACGACAGAACCAATCAGAAAAAATATAAGATAACAAATCTTAACCTAAGATCTCAAAATGGCAGAAATTTACGAATGTTTTTATTTTCAGAAAACTTGCCCTCTGCCGGTCAAAAATCACTCGAAAAATCGGTTAGCCTAAAAGTGGGGTTTTTGTATATTTGTTTTTTGAGAGGTTTTTATTTTGGTTAGAAAATAATTGGACTCATTATAACTTTATATCATTATTATTTAATTGTTGTACCCAACAACTGGATGTAGTCTTTCTGGTGATCAAAATTAAACATGAAAAGCGTATTCAATGGAGCATATTTCTATATTTCTTTGATTCGTATTTTGTTAAGGAACCCGATTTATGTGGAATTTGTGTACATAATCTAAGCTTTATGTACCCTTCAATTTATGTACCCAGTAATATGAAACTTAAGTACCAGCAGTATGGTTGAAGGCAAATATATGGAAGTAGTCAAATTTGATCACAAAATGATACTGAAAAAAGTATAAAATTCTCCTAGTTTCTCTACTACGTATTTTGGCTTATTACAAATTTAATCCGTAATATAAGTTCTACAATTTTTATATAAGAAAACCAAGTTATTAATTTAAGATTAGTTTTTTTAATTACAATTTTTTGAAGTAATTTTTTTTAAATGTCCAATTGACCAAAGCACATTTTTAAGATTCATTAAGAAACTAACCTCAATATACTCTCAATTGGCTTAAATCTGTTTAAATTTTGAACAGAATGTATAAAAGAAAAAACTAAAGAAATCATTCATTATGTAAAGCTTAAATGAATGTAGAGATGATTATTCATCACTCATCAGGAACATCTTTAAAACCAACGACATATGTGAGGCTTATAGAGTTATATTGGTCATCTTTAACTTTTAGATAATGCTTCTTATGAAATTCAAAAAGTCAAGGTTTATTATGTAGCCTTTAATTGAAATGCATCCACAGTATTTATTCATCGAAAGCTACATTGGAAGAGTTTCTAATTGAAGAATTCCACATTGAGAACATGTTAGGAGTCTAGAAGAATACTTCAAAATGGCCTCCAAGCCTCACTCCATATGTAATTGCATTAATTCTTGAACCTTGAGAAGACAATTAATTAGTTTAAATTGTTTACACTCTGTCTGCATGTACTTCGAGAAGCACAACCTAGGGGAGAAAAATACCATAGTATATACTCCGTATAACAAAGAATACAAAAATTAATTACTAATGCTATGGAAAAAGATGTACACATCTCGGTGAATCCTAAAGGCTAATGCAATTAAATGCTTCGAGAAGCTCAAGACACAATATTTAAATCTAGCAGTCTTTTTATTCATCCAAGACCTAGATAAATGGAAAGACATCATTGCAACTGAACATTTTCTCTTTCTTCCTTTATGTCACTCGGTATTTTATATGTAGGTGCATCCATAGTATTAAAGAGTTCTAGAACAATTGAAATACAATAATCCTTAATTAAGTGATTAATTGTTTGGCGTGAAAACTGCTGCCATGCAACGGTGCAACTTCCTTATTTTCTATGTACGTTTTTCCCGCCCAACACCCCTTGTCCTCCCTCCTTGGGACTTTTGTGTTTTACTATATTATATAGATTTGACTTTTTTTGTTGTTGCAATATACGTTATTTAATTAAATTTTGTCGATGCCAAATCTAGATCCACCCCTTGGTTCAGTCCCATCAAATCAAGTCCCCCCATTCATCTCTAATCAGGTGGCTTGATAAATTTGTTCTTATTAAGAAATGGAAGAAGTAGAATCTGTATTCAACGCAGCAATTTATCCATGTTGGGAAGATATTGAACTCGCCGAAAGGTCAAATCTTTTGCCCCTTTCGTACCTCCTTATCTATCTCTGATATTCAATGACTTCATATTTTTCGTGTTTAAATTGAGTTTTGCAGTTACCTTGTGTGCTGTATGTATCATGATGCAGCATCTTTATCCCACTCTGTACTGAAGCGCTTGCTAGAAAGTATTAGTTCTGACAATAGCATACCCAATCATGAGACCGTGGAGAGCAATGATGAGTTGGATGATATGTTACAGTCAGCTGGAATGGTCTTTGTTCAGTCCTTGAATCAACTTGGAAGGTACCTCCTATTCAAAACCCAACATTCTACAATATTTTTTTTTTTTCATTTAATAGACTAGAAATGTTGGTAGTATCTCTAATTTTGCGGTTTGGATCTTCATCTATGAGTAGTTGTTTATTTTGTAAATATAAAAGTGCAATCTTTCAGCCTTTTGTGTAGGCCAATATGAATTGGATTTTTGGCTTGTTTGTAGGGCATCGGAAGTACTGAAGGAACTTAAGTTGTTGTTTGGTTCAGTCACTGCCATCCCTTTTCAAGTCTTCTTTACTGGGTACCTTTATTATATCACACTCTCATCTCATCAATTACCTCATTTATATGTTCTTGGCCTCTTGCTAATTACTGTGTTTTTAATTAAGTATCAAATCATTTGGCCTGTGAAAATGGCTTGCAAAAAGTAGAAATACAAAATTTTCTTAAAACTTAAACTCCATCCTCTGTCTATTTACGGAACAAATTTAGTTCAAACTAAGACCTATCTCACCCACATACCTTAGTATACACATTGGGTATACACATTTTCATTGAAGTCTTTAAATCTTCAATGTGTTTTGTAGAAGGTGACGCTGAACCTTTTTGGACAGGGCATGTTTCCAAATACCTGGCAGCATTTCTTCTGATTTTCAAGAAGTTCTTGATGAATTTCTTAGCAAGTGGAAATACATGGAGGCAAATTATTATGCTTCTGGAAGTGTTGAAGGTGACATTGCTCATGGAGAGAGCTTCAGTAAGCAGCATGTGTTGGGAGTTGATGAATATGTGAAAGTTGTTGAGCTCTATGTCATAACATTTCTTGAAAGGACTATGAAGAATGTTGATCTCGCAATCTCATGGGTTGAGAAAGCAGGTTTACCTGAGGAAAAGTGTCAGGTCAATGTTTCTCTCTCTCATATTCTCTTTTGACATTTCTTTAGGATTTTAGTTGGCCATTTTCAGTGATACCACTGAACAAACTTTTTGGTGATGTTGATGAAAGAAAATTTACCAAGTCTGGTAATTCTGGGAGTTTTGGACGTAGTTTCCCAAATCCCAATACATCTTTTTCCTCGCTGCCTAGTGTGCTTTCCCGCTTGAATGAAGATCTCTTGATGTCCATACTAAGTATGAAAACATTATTGTTTGAGATTTGTTTCCAATGTCGATGCTAATTTCTAATGGATGGAATATAAATATATTAATCTGGCACATGCTTGGTTGTTGTAGCTGCTTTGAATTCTTATTGCACTTTATAACATTCAATTTGTATTTCCTATCATATATGGAGCATGAAGTTCTTTAACAATGTTGGCATAATGTCCAACATCTAAATGCAATATATCATTGTTATCCATATTCTTGCTCTGTATATTTCCCCTAGAATTCAACAAAACTCTTGAGCATTTGATTTGTCTTTCTACACAATATCTATTGCCATGTCTTGCCAGACTGTAGTCTTCTAATCACCATTTTCTTAAGGATCTTTTATTTCATTTTATAGTGTAGCATTTTTAAGAAAGTGTATCCATGGTTGACTGACTATTCCTATATGGTTTTTTTCCAGAATCTGTTGAGACAATTATACTCCATGAACACTTCTAAACTCGGCAGTTCATCAGAGTTCAATGCATCACTATTGCAAATAGATGAACACGTGCCTCAATCTTCTTCCATAAAGGACGAAAAAACTGGTTCTGCTAACAATCTGGAGAATAATTCAAAACAAAAGCTTATTGAAATGTACAAAAAGAGAGGATCCTTTTGGTGGTTCCGCACCATAAGTTTGAAGTTTAGGAGTACTCGATTCGTCATATCAAATGGAAATATTTTCCTATGCTGTTTAGCTCTTATCTTATTTCATCTCATGAGGAGGAAGTCAAATTTTAAGAGGTAAGGCATGCTCTAATTTTACTACATATCCAACTGCCAATGCCTGTTTTTCCAAAGATTGGTTACTCCTCTAATTTTCCTATCCTCAACTTTGCTACTTAGGGGCTGATATAGGAATTTATGTTGTATTGAGCTGAAAAGTGATTGGACTGGGCTGAAGGAAATATTTAGGTGGGTAAAAGATAAGATAGAAAGAAAAAGTTTAACATAAAATAAAAGGTTGCCTGAGACTAGACAACAAAATGGGTGATAATTTTTTAAAGTTCATTTATCTCTAAATGGTGCCAATTAATATAGCTTGAGTCTTGACTCTTGAGATCCTTCATGAAACTATTCAAGACCTAAAAGATAAACGAACTATCAATTCGGGACCCGAAAGATGAAATGTATCGGTATAAGACCCGAATGATGAAATACTATCAATCTAGGACCCGAATGATTGAAAACTATCAATTTAGGACCTAAGTTTTCATAAATTTTGTTATTATTTTTATTTTAAAAAATTAAAATAATATTTAGTTTTATTAAACTAATAAACTTTTGTGAAGAAAATTTCACCAAATATTAGCAATGGAATTAATAAAAAATTAAATAAATAAAAGCCTATGAAATGTTAGATCCTAGATTGATAGTTTTTCATCTTTCGAGTAGGGGTGTGCACAATTCGGTAAACCGACCGAACCAAACCGATACCGATTTTTCGATACGTACCAAATACCGAATCGAATTTTCGGTTCGGTAATTGGTACGTATAATTTTTAAAATTCGGTATTCGGTTCGGTATATATATAAATATTTTGGTTTTCGGTATGTACCGAATACCGAAATTAATAAAATAATAAGTATTAAATATATAATATATTTATATATTTTAGCCATAAATATAATATATATATATATATATATTTAGTTATGTATTATATATTTATATAATATATATATGTATATATTAGCCATAAATATATAAATATTTATATATTTATGTATATGTATATCATTATGTATAATATATATCGATATATTTATATATACATATACTAGTATATATATTTCATCATGTATTTATATATTATATATATAATATATTTAAATATTTATTTATAAATTATTACATAAATATAGTTGAATGCCTATTTGGTAATTTGGTTTTACCGATTACCGAACCGATTTTTTTTCGATTTTTACCGAACCAAACCGATTTAGTTCGGTTCGGTATGTGAAAATGCATAACCGAAAATTCGTCTATTATTTCAGGTCCTATTTGCACGGATGCATAGTTTCGAGTCCTATATTGATACATTTGATATTTCAGGTCCCGGATTGATAATTCGTCTATCTTTCAGGTCCCAGATTCATAAAATTCCTTTTACGATTTACAATGACACCTGTCCATATGGGTAAAAACAATATTTCCAAGGACCGGTTGTATTATGTAAGGCCTGTTTAGGTATACACTTGATAGAGAACACTAAAATCCAAATACGCAATAAGAGAATTTAGGCTAATAGAGAACACATATGAGTCCTATATTGATACATTTGATATTTCAGGTCCCGGATTGATAATTCGTCTATCTTTCAGGTCCCAGATTCATAAAATTCTTTTTACGATTTACAATGAAACCTGTCCATATGGGTAAAAACAATATTTCCAAGGATCGGTTGTATTAATTAAGGCCTGTTTAGGTATACACTTGATAGAGAACACTAAAATCCAGATACACAATAAGAGAATTTAGGTATATTAAGTATAGAATTCAGAGAATAGCTCAGAAATTCCTCAGGTAAACGACACTGGAGGAAGCCATAAACCAGCGTACAAAGAAAATAGAAAGAGACGACAGGTTTGAGACTCTTCGAGAGGTCTCACTCTCCTAGCCTAATTCCAGCCTACCTTTATTTCTATTCCCAGCTCCTATTTATAATATTTTCATTACAAGCTGGCCCATAACTAAATAATACCAGGCTCGGACCCCTTTCAACATAATAACACACTATGCAACATTATTCTATTCTTCTTCTTCTTCTTCTTCTTCTTCTTCTTATTCTCTTTAGCCCAGGATCCTATCTAATCTACCAGGCTTATTTTCTTTTGAAGACTCTAAGATGTTCAGTGAGTTCCTTAATCCGTGTGTGATCCTTAACTGCCAGTTGATGTGAAACAAGGGATTAGTAGCCTCTTGTCAAATTCACCAATCAATTAATGTGTGTGTGTGTGGGGGGGGGGGGGGGGTAGGGGTATTTTAAACATCCCAAACTTTAATGAAATGAGTGTGAAATAAGTATCCCAAACTTGCATGCGTAATATATACCTCGAACTTTATATAAAGAGTTATTTTCGCACCATAACATAATTTAAAATACTCTAAACATTGTTAGAATGCAGTACATACTAAACTTTCAATTGTGAAATAAATAATGTTAGATCTGGTACAATTTAATTGTAATTGCATCCTCATAAATGTTTTGTGTATTTTAAATTATGTACTTATTACCATAAAATTATATTTGTGAAAAAATATATGATCATGGTGCTAATATAAATCTTTATATAAAGTTTGGGGTTTATATATTATATGTGCAAGTTTGGGATACTTATCTCATACTCCTTCAAAGTTTGGGATATTTGAATTGTTTTCCCCATTACGTTGATGCGTTTTAACTCTGTTGTTTTCTTTTTAATTAATCATTTTTTCGTCTTGCGTGTGTTTCAAACTATTACATATCTTATTGGTTGATCATAGCATGCATCATATGATTGTAGACTAGTTCTAAAACTATTGTGTGTTATGCAATGTAATAACAGCATTCTTATAAAACAAGCTTCATCCGTGAAGAAGGCTTTGGGTGATCTTTGGGAACTTGCCTTTTCATACCAGGTGAACCCACTTGCTGCAGTTGCTGGAGTTCAATCGCTCCCGAGTTCAGCGCATGGAGCCCGCTGATGTCGCTACCATTTTCTGCCGTATCATTATCTTAACATACAATATAGGAGGCACAACAAACATACCGTGTATCTTGAACAAATAATATTACATCAGATTTTGTGGAGTAGTTCAAGTGGAGATTATTAACATATGAGATAAAGGCCATTTCGTGAAATTCCTGATTTTCGGAGTAACAAGGAAGTTGTCAATCAGATGATCCACCCCACTTATTTAGATTCATAATACCAACTGCCACTGAATATGGCGAATCAAATTATCTATCTAGGTTCATCCCCATCCAGAGTACTAGACTACTGGTCATGTGCAAAATGTTGTATGTATAGTTAAAAACCACATTTTTATGCCAATTGTTACTCTTGCTACCCATGACATTAGAATATTAGATGTACCTTGATTTGGTCACACATACTTGTGTTACTTTGATGAATTCAATCTTTATTCTTGAATTATCTTGTTTTTCTCGATATGTTAATGAGAGTTTGTCTGGGATTTGGTATTAATGGCTGGTAGCCTGGTACAAATTAAACACATCATTTTTGTGAAAGAAAACCACATCATTATTAGGACCGAGTATTATATACGAAGTAGTTATGACTTATATTATGAGGCATTTTACGTTAAAATTCTTCTCACTTTCCTTTTTGGACTGTCTCAAAAAATTCTTTTCACTTACCATTTTTGGACAATCTGTGTGTTTCACATTCATTTCATCTTTTTCTTACACAACTAAAACTACAAATTTCCACTTTATTTCACTTTCTTAATCTCCGTGCTAAGTCAAAGTGGGAAATTTTTTTTGGGACGAAGGGAGTACTAGTCATATTATAATGTTATACTATCGTATATGGTATTGTGGTATTGGACTTTGGTGTAAAAGATCAAATAGATTAATGTATTTGCTCGAATCGTTCAAGTCATTCTAACTACAAAAAAATCTAGGGAAAATTATGGAAAATATATTTGTGTTTAAATCCGTTTTTAAATAAGGTCATCTGTTTTCATATGTTCTAAAAAGACGGTTAATTGTAACTCCGATTTCAAAATATGTCTGAAAAATTAAACGAAGATTACTAAAATGTGATCTTTTATTAAAAAACCTAATTGTAAACCGAATTGTTAACTCCTAGTGAAGACTAAAGAGAGTCAAATGAATACTTGCTAGAGATTCAAATATTCTAATTGTGATGATGATTCTAATTACATTTTGTTATGGACAATTTTTTGTGCACGCATTTTTTTGTCATCCATTTTATCTAGGTATATTGACAATTTTTTTATTAAAAAAATCATTTTTTATACGAAATAAATACTTTGTTATAATAAAGTGTTAAAAATTGTGAGTGTATATAAAAACGTGTCCAAATTTTCCTTTATTATGGTTAATGCTATAGATTGAACACTTGAATGAATAAGTATATTGACCTATTTAGCCTAGAAATTAGATTTACATTTTAATTTTATATTAATTGTAAATATAATAATCTTTTTACGCGTGACATCTAAAATACTTGTGATATATACTTGCGTGTAGGATTAATAATAAATTACTAACTAATTACTAGAAGGATATTCAAAAAAAAAACTAATTACTACAAAGAATGAGCGTAATTTATAAGGAGTGAAGGACAATAGGTCAAAAATCTGGATTCTGGATCTAAGTAGTAATACATACAACGTCGTTTTCTCTATAGTAAAACTGTAATAGTGTATTTTCTGTTCATATTTGTCATTATAGAAAATACATTTTTTATAAACATTCATATTTGTATTTATGTAGTTGATAATAGTAGTGATAACAAAAAATTAATTTAATTTTTATAAGCAAAGAAAAAAAACGAAACTAATTTTTTACCACAACTTAAAACTGTAACTACAGCTCTTTGAAAGTATGTTGGGTTTATCGTTCAAGGCATTCACTGTGACGTCACAATTAACCTTAGCCGTAATTTCCCACGTCTTAACGGCCCCAACTTTAATCTTGACGGGAGATTTGATATTCAGCTTGAAGTTCAGTTGTTGTTGCCTTTGCTGGTATATGAGTGATGATTTAACGGCGTTACTCAGCATAATCTCAGATCTCTTCAACTCAACGTGGACGTTCGTCACGTTAACCGCCGGCTGAAAAAACGCCGGTAGTTCACCGTAACCTAGCTCAACGCCGGAATAGAAAATCGTGACAGAACTCCCCCGCCTGTAATAAATCCCAATTTTGTCGTTAGGGTTTTCAGACCGGACGGTGACATCAAATTCCGGCGAAATCGGGGACTCCGACGTCGCGTTCAGCCCCTTGATTGCAACGGACGAGACGGTGTAATTCGGCGATTCGGGGCGGAAGACGAGGTAGAAGACGCCGGCGGCGATGGCGAGGGCGAAGAGGAGGGCCACGAAGAAGCAGAGAGTCACGCAGAGGCAGCGGCAGCAGCATCCGCGGCGACGCTTCCGAGCCCCAATTGACCTGGAACGGCGGGGATTCTCCGGCGGAGGGTAGCGGTATATTTGGTCCTTCGGGACCTGGACGACGTAAGTTCCGGGCGACGGGGCCGTCTTTACAGGAAGCGGCGATGGCGGCCGAGCCCCTGATGTGACTGAGTTTTCGGGAGACGGCGGCGAGTCGCGAGAATGTACTTGATCAGCCATTGCAGGCAAAATGTGTAGCAGAATTCCAGAATCAGTAGAAACTGGAAAAGATTAAGGATTAATCTGAAAACGATATTTCATCAAATCAAATGAAAGAAACGCGAAAGGAGGATGGAAAGGAAGAAATTAATAAAGCGTATAAATACTGGATTTAGAAAGGAGTAAGCGTGTGAGTGGAAACGAAACCGCGTCCCGTTGGCATTAAGGAAGTGTAAACGGCTCTTTTATTACCTTTAAGGACACAAATTTGTTGTTTTTTTAAGCACAATTAGTTTAGTCAATCTCGTTAATTGAACGCATTTATTTATTTCTAATAAATAAAATGTGTCATTAAATGTTACATTAAATTTCGGTAGATAATTTGTTTGTCTATATGCCTTCTCAACTTCAATTTGCCTGCCACAATGTATTTTAACGTAATTAAAGAGTGCATAATTAATTATGAGTGAATCAAGTCTAATATAACGAATACGTGTGGTTTTAGTGTGTACTTCATTTTCAGAATAAAAAGCGAGGCAGGTGATTATTTCAAGATAATCACAAAAAATGTTGTGTTTCATCAGTGTTAATCGATATAAAGATTTCCCATTTATAAAGATGTAAACCTCCTATATAATGACTTAATTGATCTTTTTATGAAAGTTGGAGGAACTATTTGACAGTTTTCCTAAGATATATTTATGATGAAATCGCTCTCACCATAACATTCTCCTATCAGTTAGATGGAAAAATATTAAAATATTAAAATACACAAACTTTGAATGGGTGTGATATGAACATGCATATGTATTTTAAAGAGATAAAAGTCAGATTTGTCCTCGAAATTGCATAACAAGAGTCAAAAATTCATGAAGACACAAATAATATTATAAACTTCCATTGCGAAATAAATAACTTTACATCCGATCTATATAATTGCAACACTTTTAATTTGTTATTTTAAATTATGCAATTAACCCCATAAACTTACATTTTTGAAAGAAATAATAAATGATAATGGTGCAAAAATAACTTTTTATATAAAGTTTGGGGTATTTAGATTACATGCGTAAATTTGGAGTGTTTACTTCACGGCTCATAAAAGTTTGGGGTATTTTTATTATTTTTCCGAGTTATTCAAATAAGATTAATTGAATGTCGAGCCTATATATTAGTTGGTTAAGTATCTCACAATTCACATGTGAAAGTATCTTTTAAATGGGCATTTTATAAACGAGATCTATATGCAACAAACTCATATTTATTCACCCTCATTTCCCAACACTTTTTTATGCCCCATGTCTCGAACAGGCTTTTCATTTTTTCATTGTTTAAGTAATTTTCTTTGAATTGAAGTCAATTTTGAATGTTTATACACTCTTATATTAGTCTCATTTTACTTGTTTTATTTTCTTTTTTGAATAATTTCAAAATCAGTGTTATATTTTTTTCTTAAAAAGAAACAAGTAGTGTACAACATTTCAATTTATTATGTTCAAATATTAACATTTCAAATATCAAACATCTTCATTTTATCAATAATTGATAATAATTGTATCCAACCAAAACAATATACAACTGGAATGGAGGTAGTAGGTAGTATAAGCTAAGCATGGGTGGAGACAGGTAGGGGACCTCGGCCTCTGCAAGATTTTTTTTAAATATATATTATGTATAAATACTTTTAATCTATAGAATATATGTTGATATTTTAAATTTTGGCCCCTGCAATGTAAATTTTTAAGGACCGATTAAAGTCACTTTAATCGTAGATTGCTGGCTCCACCGGTGAGTATAAGGTAATTATTAGATGTTTATATCCTACACATATACACACAACTTGTTATTCCACGTAGATGGTTATCACAAGTATATTATATATATATCATTCAAAAGATATCCATCTTTGAAAATTTATTTCACAAGTTATATTGCTCCAAATTTAGTAACTAACTCCATTATTTTCTGGATCTTTCGGCTATGTATAGTGTATATTTTGAGAACTTGTTTCTAAAAAGGAAACCATTATATTCCTTTGTATGTGACCTTAATTAACTTTAAAATAAAATAACCATTTATAAAGTCAGGCTGCAAATAGTTTAATTCAATCACTATGCAATATCATTGAAAGTGCTTTTATGATAGATTGGTGATTTATAACCTCTAAAAGTTTCTATTTTCATCGATTACTTGCATATAACAAGTTTAATTTGCCGTTTTGCCTTCTCAAAGATGACTTTTCTGATATGTTTTCCCAACATTAACCAATTTAACAACATTAATCACTTAAGTTACCATTCAATTAACATGTTTATTGATAGAGTATATCTAGAGAGAAGTGAGAGCTAGAGAGAGAAGTGCAATAATATGCTTCAATAGAATGATTTGGTCACCCCTATAACTACTCCCAAGGGGAGTATTTATAGAGAAAATTAGGGTTGGGTTCCCAAGCCTTGGGCTTGGGAGGCCCATTTACAACTGAACCGCTACTGGGCCGAATACAAAGCCACTAATGGGTTGTACAAATGAGTAAGTATAAAATCCGATTCTGTGAGGTCTTCGTGGCCGATGAGGGCACGACCGACGAGGGCACAGCCGACGAGGGCACCCGGGTTCCTTGGACTCAGGACCATAATCCGAGTTGGCCCCTTTTCGGCCGACGGGGGCGTCTTGGCCGACGAGGGCGCCACGCTGTTGTCTTGTGCTTTCTGTTCTTCCGAGTATGTGGTCCGGGGGCTCAGACCCATATACTCCATCATTTATTTCAATCAATTAGCCCTTGACAGATAGCAAATTAGAAAAGGTCTTCATGCAACATAGCATATTCAAATTCAGCAATAACAAACAAAATGTATTGAATTACTTAAGGTAATATAAAGTTGTCCAGATAAATACTTCCGGTTCAATGAAATTATAATCTGAGTTGTCTAAACTCGCCGTATCCATAAAATTACTCTAAAAATGTATCCTTCAAATTAAAGGTAACTTTCTTCTTCGACTGATCATTCTTAACGACCCTTTTAAAAAAATATTAAAATTCAACCATTTTGAATTATGTAATACAAAATAAGTAAAATTGAAGTTATTTTAATTTGATTTAAGTTTTTGAATCGTACGTGTAACTCAATTTTAGTTCTTTTCACATTGTTTTTCATTAGTTTGTTAATAAAATTTATTTTAAGAACTGTCAAATAAGCCCTTTTATAGGAGGCTTTGTCGGACCGTCGCCATTTGGGGCGATTTCAGGTGGAATTTTTTGATGAATTTTTTTGAACATCTTCTTCATTAAGTCTAGTTTAGACATACCAAATTTCAGCTATAAATTCAACCGAGAAGGCAATCAAATGATTTTCTGAAATATATTGCGCTGTTTAACTGCACAGTTATCTTAAAAAATTCATTTGAGTGCCTTTCCGATTGAATATTTAGCTGAAATTTGGTATGAGTAAACTAGACTTAATGAATAAGATTTTCAAAAAAATTCATCAAAAAAATTCACCGGGAACCGCCCCAAATGCCGACGGCCGGATAGAACCTCCTATGAAAGGACTTATTTCCTCTTATGAAAGGACTTATTTGCACTTTTTATGTAAGTTCGAGGGCTTATTTGATAGTTCTCCCTTTATTTCAAGACTGCCTTCTAGCCTAAATCAAGCTTCTCGTATCCTCAATTCCATACAAAGAATTTTTTTTACAGAAAAAACCAAAAGTACTCATTTTTTTACAACCAAAATTACTCATACTTTACATTACTCTTTACTTGATTTGATATAAAATACGGAGTAATGAAGTCAGAAATTTAATATGGTGAACTTTGTCAAGTGCAAAGTAGGTGAGAAATAAGAATAGTAAAAACTGTGTGGTTAAGATTTGTGTAGGAGAGAGAGAAATGTGCAAAACCACAAATTAGTTGCTTTAGTAGGAATGTGACAAAGTTTTTTGACACAATCAAAAAAGTAAAGTTGTCAACGTACAACGGGACGGAGGGAGTATCGGATAAATATATGTGTGTGATGGAATATATGGACTCCGACCCCCCGGTCCGCCGACTACTGGGCCTGGACAGCGGCCCACTCACGTTTAGCAGATATCATTCATATTATTGTACATTATTATTGTTATTCAGATGTTCTAGATTAGCTTTTTATACTATCAGTCCATTTATGTAACCGGGTCTGTCAGGCCCATATTAGAGGCCCAGACCCGGATTTTCCCTATATATACTCCTTTAGGAGGCTACACACAAACTGATATTCATACACAATACTACTTCTTCTCCTTCTTTCCTGTTCAAACTCTCACTACTTATAGGATATGGGTATCAATTATCCAACAATGATGCTCTCGTTGAGAGGTTTGAACACAATCAAGTGAGAAAACCTCCCAAAAAACATCCAAAAAATTCATCACAATTTCAAATAATTTAGCAAAAAGTTTGTGTACAGAAATAGAATTTCAACACCCAGATCTGAAATGGGATCTAAGAAGACGGAATCCATATGCGTGCTCGGAGCTGTACTGTCCGGACAATCCCGCCGAGGTTCCATGAGCCAGCTTTGAGGTTGAGATCTACGCCGCAGCAGACGTCCTACTCCGCCACAAATCGCGGACCTAGGGAACTCTCCGGAAGTCGCGGACAGGTTGTACTGCACTACTGCTCCCTCACATGGCAGTCTCCCCAACCTGCAGTTCTACGACACGTAGAATCAATAGACCCCTGCCTACGAGGCTGCAGAACAACCAAGCTGACATTCTTCTCTCAAGATGGATCGGTGGTCCGACAGAGCAACTGGAATAGCGGATTTCCCTCGAACGGTGGTCACAGCCCCTTAGCCGGTCGTTCTTCTCCCTCGCCGACCGGTGCTCACCCCAGGGCCAATCGTAGCCTGATCCTCGCCTCACCGCCGATGCAAGCTGACTGGCTAAGGAATCTGCCAGTTGAAGCTGCCTGAGGTTACAACAGCTCGCTCCTCCACCTTCCGGCTGCTAGAGTACCTCGCTACCCAGCAAAACGCGGCACCCCCATTCTCCGCTCGTTCCTCCACCACAGTCACAACGCCGCCCAGCTGCTGGCCGCTCTGTCACGACCCCGGTCGCCATCACAGCTCAAAGGCCGAAGCCAAGTCCACGGTTGTCATCTTCATGGTCACTCACCTCGGTTGCTGGAGTTTGGGCCAAAGATCCGCCACGC